GGTGGGGGGAGCTGTCATTTCGGGGGGCAGGAGGAAAGAGCTAGAGGGGGCAGAGGGAAGGGACAAGGGTGCAGTGTGGGGCTCCAGCCAAAGGACAGAGCTTCTGGGCAGTCGTCACATTCCCTCCAGCCCCCCAATGCTTGGCCAAGTCCCTTTCCCTCCCGCATGTCCCGCCTCCCCGGTCCCCACCGGGGACAAGCACCAGGCCTCAGGGTGTGCTGGGACCTAGCTGGGCAGCAGGGCGGGCAGCGGGACCTCGGCCTCGCCCAGCACAGTGTCCCGCCTCACACCGCAGCCCTTGCTGAGGGCCTTGAGCCGGAGGCTGCGGCCGGGCAGCTCGTGGGGCGCGAGGCCCTCGAAGAAGAAGTCCTCGTTGAAGATGGGGCTCCGGCTCCTCTGGACCAGGGCGGTGCGCTGCTTCTGCGCCTGGCCGGGCCGCAGCTGCAGGGACACGCAGCAGCCGACGTGCCGGGGGGGGCAGGACTGCGGGTACAGGCCCTCGGCGCTGACCAGCCGGACGTGCAGGCGCCTGCTGGCCGGGATGTACTCGGAGGAGAGGCGCAGGCGCCCGCCTCGGCTCAGCGCCACCGTGTTCTCCTGGGCCACCCGCACGGGGCGGCAGATGAAGTCCAGGGGGAAGAAGAGAGGTGGGGCCAACCTGGCTGCTGACCCCCAGCTGGGCTCGGCCGCACGGCGTGGGACGCAGGGGCTGTTGTCCGCTGAGCTGGCGTCCTCCGTGGAGAGCGAGCTAGCCCGGCCCCCTGCCTGGGCATGCAGGGTGCAGCGACAGAGGGGCCAGCCCCCGTGGGCCTGGCAGGGTGGGGAGCGCACCAGCAGTGGGGAGCCGAAGGGGGAGGAACTCGTAGAGGAGGCCGTGTCGCTGTCCCAATCACCGGGCGGGGAGACAGGCTGCAGCACCAGGGAGAGGTCGAGGGAGACGCACTGGGGCAGGCAGGGGGTGTGAAAGAGGGACTCCCTGCGGCGTGTGTGGGGGCTCTCGGGCAGGATGGGGAAGCCCCCTGGGCTGGCAAGGTGGGCAGGGCAGAGCTGCTGGCTGGCCTCGCCCGTCTGGTCCAGGCTGGGTATGTGGATGACGTGCCGGTTGGCGGTGCCCATCAGGGCCCTGGATGTTTCAGGGCTCCTGGGCCCCTGGGGGCCCTGCTGGGAACTGGGATTCCTGCCTGGGGCTCTGTTCTGCAGGGTGGAGAGTTGGGGGGGGGTGAAAAACTGGGGGATGCGGTCGGGGGTGAGGATGTTGGGGCAGGCAGGCGGCGGGCCCGGCTTCTTCGTGGCCCTCTCTCTGGAGAGAAACATCTCGGTGGAGTCGGGGGAGCAGGTCGCTAGGCTGCTGCCCCCTCCAATGGAAACCCCGATCCAGGGCCTGGGGTCAAAAGCCTCCTAAGAAGAACCAGAAGCAGCAAGTCAAAGCCTTGGAGGCTGCCAGGGGCTGGACCATTGACTTCTCCCCAGAGCTGCTTCTACAGCAAGGAGCTGGGGAGACCGGACAGATGCTGCCCAGCTGGAGAAAGGAACCAGGCCCTGTCTCATATCGGAGGCTGCCTCCAGGCCAGCAAACATCTCCTGCAGCTCCCTTGTGAGTAGGGTGTTTCCTCTGCTGAAACCCCTCTGGCTGCTTAGCCGCCAATGTCCCTATGTTGGCACTAGCCTCTCAGGACAGGGCAGAGCCGTGCTAAGGGTCTAGAGCAAAAGGCGGAGGGGCTCCCAGCACTTCAGGGCTGGCAGAATCTGCCCCGTTGCCCAAGTAGGACCAGCCAACACGTTGTGCTGGTGTAGCCCTGGGACTGGAAGGTCTCAAATACTAAGCAGCTCCTCGTTAGTATAGTGGTAAGTATCCCCGCCTGTCATGCGGGAGACTGGGATTCAATTCCCCAATGGGGAGATGTGAAAATGGTTTGGGGGAGGGATAGCTCAGTGTTTTGAGCATTGGCCTGCTAAACCCAGGGTGGTGAGTTCAATCCTTGCAGAGGCCATTTAGGGATTTGGGGCAAAAATTTGTCAGGGATGGTACTTGGCCCTGCTGTGAAGGCAGGGGACTGGACTCAATGACCTTTCAAGGTCCCTTCCGGAGATAGGCGATCTCCATTAATTTATTTAAATGTGGGTTAAACTTAGGGTGCCCATTTTACTGATGGGGTAACTGAGGCCGAGACAGGATTCTCTCAAGGGGACCCAGGGAGACTAGAACCTAGGTCTGCAGGACTGGAAGTACTAGGCAGCACTGCCTCCCTACCTCAGGCGCCTTGGTACCTGGCTGCACCCCACCAAACCCCACTCTTGTCTCAGAGCTCGGCATAGAACCCAGGAGTCCTAACGCCCAGCCCCCACTTAGCCCCGAGGCAGCGCTGATTTTAAAACACTGGAGTAGTTCTTGCTCATAGCACAGAGAAATTTCTAAAAGCCCTTAAGCCCCACTTCCTGCCTCCCTCCCCTCTGCAGGGCCAGGGGGTCACATCTGCAGAGCCAACCCAAACGCCCAGGGAGAGGCACCTCCGAGGCCATGTGCCCCCCCACCCCGCATGCCAGGGCTTGGGAAGCTACCGGACCTGATTCACCAAAGGGTAACTTGCCAACGTGTCAATAGGGCAAGAGGCCAACTGCTCTGCTTAGAAACTGCACCCCCTTCGCCATCTCCCGTGCAGCCCCGAGCTCGAATCACCTGCCCACAGCCCCTCGCGGCAGCCTGGCGGGTTTCCACTCCCCCCCCCCATCCCCTGCAGGAGTCAGGCTGGAAAAGTTTGCTCATGTAAACAGCTCCCTCTTGGAGGTGGGACCCTGGCGTGGTCCAGAACCGCAGCCCCCGTCCTTACCTGCTTTCAGCGTGCCCCTCCCCAGGGATCTCGGCGTCACGCTCCCGGCTTTGCCGCAGCAGCTGGGACCCACCAGCCTTTGCCGGGGGGAGTTATAGCGCTCGGCTCTCCACGTCACACTGAGCCAGCCGGCGGCCGGGAAGGGAGACAAGGAGTCTAGTGCTTGCAGAGTGACTTCCCAGCAGGGGGCTCCTCCAGAAAGTGTAAGCGCCAGGACCGGCCACGGATATTTAGAAGGACGCCTGGACGGGGGCAGGCAGGAAGCAGCCCTCTGGCTACCATCTGGGTCAGCCCAGATGCCACTGGAACAAGGCAAGTTGCCTTTGCTGTGTCTGGTCCTGGCGGCTTCACCTTGGTCACCCCTGGTCACGCAGGGAAGGGGGCCTTGGGCCACATGGCTGGCAAGAGAGATACCAGGAGAGAATTCTTCCGCCCGCTGTAGCCGCTGGCAGCACTCACACCGGCGCTGGGTTCAAATCTCCCGCTTCCAAGCCCGATGTGCCGCAGTTCCACTGCTCCTGCAAGGGGGAGGCCCCCGGCTAACACCTCGTTCTTGACTCCCCCCACAGGGCAAGAAGAATCCACTTGCTAGCTCTTCTGAATGGAGCACACGGCTCAGTTAGGTGACGCTCACGTCGAGGATAAAAGCCTACTATACCTGCACACCCGTAGACTGCAGTTCCACTGCTCCTGCTAACACCTCGTTCCTGACTCCCCCCACAGGGCAAGAAGAATCCGCTTGCTAGCTCTTCTGAATGGAGCACACGGCTCAGTTAGGTGACGCTCACGTCGAGGATAAAAGCCTACTATACCTGCACACCCGTAGACTCACTTGTCCCAGCTTGTGGATGTTTGTCAGGGCTGGGCAAGATGTGGTCTGCAGGCCGGATGCGGCCCACCTAACACTTTGATCCAGACTGCAGCAGGCTGCTTTCTATTTATATCCTGCTGCCCCTGCCACCGAATTTCCAGGCAGCAGCTCAGATAAGAGGATCCTATTTAAATGCCTTATGGCTCCCAGTCATGGTGCTACCCTGGCAGGGGCCGGAGCCCTGAGACCTTTAAATATCCGCAGCAAACACGGGCAGCTACCAGGGAACACAGTAGAAGCCGGGCCAGGAACAGCAAACCCTTTGCCGTGTTTCTACTTCCAAGCCTTTGGCCCCGGACAATTCTGGGGGGAGGCCAGTCCCCAGGCTCCGCCTCCTCTGGGAGGGGGAGCCAGCCCATGAGCATGTTCCAAAATTCATTACGTGGCTCTCCTGAGAAAATGACTGCCCACCCCATGTCAGTGGTGAACATCCCCCCAACCCCGACAGCCTAAGTCCCAGGAATCGCCACATAGCTCAACCGGTGGAGGCCTGAGTGGGCTCCCCAATACCGGTGGTTAGCTGCATCAGTAGGAAAAGCCTCCAGGGAGGAACAAAGAGCAAGTTCCCCATTTCCCAGAGCATGATTCCCCCCGCCCCCCTGGCTCCCCCTTGCAGGGATCCAGTTGCTGCCTCGCGGAGGGTGCTGCAGACCCCCGGCCAACCCTAGTGCATGGCAGGCTGACACTGCTCCTTAGCCCAGCTTGTTGGCTCAGTAACGAGACACGGGGCTGAGCCGTGGACGGCTGGGTTCACATCCGGCCCAGTGAGCAGCTGTCACTACCAGCTGGTGGCAGCACAGGGAAACAAGTGGCTGGGTCTCGGCCACGCTGCGATGGGCAGGTGGACACATCAGGAAAAGCTCCCTTGTGTCTGCCCCGGGGCAGCCTGGGAAGAGGCTCTGGGCTGACAGGTCCCTCAAGACTGGCCACCCTAGAGCAGTGAGTGTAGGGAGTGGTTTGCCCTCCCCTCCCACCTCTCCAGCCCCTGCAAAGCCAGGAAATCCCTTGGAACCCTTCCCGCCAAGCCTGGGACTTGGTATCTTTCCTCTTATCAGACGCTTGACAGACTTTGACTAATGTGATGTCCTTCCTGCTTAGCCTTTGTTCCCCAAGGGCCACCCCAATGCAGCTGGGTCATGTCCAATAACGCAGGACAAAGAGGCTTTTGTGGCTGAGTGAGGGACATGCAAAGAAATTTAGTCCATGCCTTTGATAGACCAGGGCAGCAACTTCCCAGGGACTCTCAGTTGAGCGAGCTGCGTCGGGGAAGGCTAACAGGGCTCTGGGGTAAACTTGGGTTCAGTTCCCTGCTCTGCCACAGACTCCCTGCATGACCCCCAGGGCAAAGTCACGAGTCACTCTGTGCCTCAGTTTCCCCATGTATACCATAAGACTCAACACCACCCTGCTTTACAGCAGGGGCTATGAAAATAAATACACTGGAGACTGGGAGGTGCTCAGAGAAGAGGAGGGTGGGGGCTGTATAAAAACCTTAGACCGGTACTACTCAACACGCAGCCTGCGGTACAGTCTGGGTTTACGTGGGGCTCAACACCTGGCCCACGGGTGGGAGCCACAATAAAGAAGTCGTCAATATAATGGTCTTCTGTGATATGCATTTTCAGGGCTCGACAATTAAGGCAATCTACTTGCTGCGGGTGAGTAGATTTTAGCCTGGTGCGGCCGCGCAGCACGGTCTGCACATGCGCAGCATGCGGTTCCGCACGGCTGGCGATCAGGGCTCGCCGCCGCTTGGCCAGGCCTGTGCATTTTAATAATTAAACTCCTGGACTGTCATTGCTCATTAAAAGTGCAGTCCTATGGGTGGAAATTGGGTAAATGTTGCATTTGATTAATATCAGCAGAAGTGACTTAGATAGGGCCTGCATGTTGTGCGGTCTTGCCTTAATCTTTGTATTCACCCCAGTCAGTGTGAAAGAAGCTATTTGCATATATTTGCATGTCTATGCAACCACCCTGAAGTTGCAGCCCTTGTGCTCTGAGTATCATTGTGGCCCCCGGGGCTTCCAGAGTTGAGTCGCCCTGCCTTAGACAGATCTGCTTGCGGGGGCATGTCTGAAGTTGGTCCGACGCGGTGAGTTGTAAGAGGATGACAAGGAAAGGAGATTTTCAAGCCATCCCTGGGGAGGAGTTGCCATCTTTGGGAGCTTGTAGTGCATGGCGGGATGGCTTTGGAAAGATCAGCTTCTGGCACAACCAGGAGTTCTGAGCTTGGAACAGGAATCTCCGGCCTGGGCCAGGCAGGTTAGCCCGGCTGATCTTACCGAGCCCAGCTGGCCTCAAATGAACTACTTATGGGGCTCGTCTGGATTGTCACTTTAATTGCCCGACTGGTGGGGATGGGGGGGCACGTTCCCTGCCAGCACGTGGCACAAGCCGTAGGCCTCTCTCATCTCCTCACTTCCTGCCCACAACAGCTTCGGCGGCGAGACCGGCCACCGAATCCAGGCTGCTGGGCTCCTTCCGAGGGTGACGGGCTAGGGTCTGGCGACCCAGGATGCGCAGGTCAGACGCAGCGTTGGAGTGGGCCCTGCTGACTTTGGGCTCTTTCCTTGCAGCCGCCCTCTGAGAATCTGGATCCAGAAACGGAGGCCCTCAAATCACTAGCCCCCTTGTCAAAACCTGGTCCCTGGGGAGGAAGGGAGTGAACATGGGAGGGGACAGGGATGGATCGAGTAAGTGGCACTTTCTGCCATCTTCGCTCTGCGCGGAGACCGTGTCCCACCCGGACGCTGGATGACCGGGGCTTACTTAGTCGTACCTTGGTCACCTCTTGGCTCTGCAGGAACGTGGCCGACCTGGCACAAAGACGTCAGCACCCCAGAAATCCCCCCTAGTTCTGCCATGTGTCACTTAGCCACGCAGGCTGCTGCAGGTTCTGCTGGCTCCGCCGGCGCCCCAGTGACTAGCAAATCCAGGTCAAGGTCTTGCTCCTTCTCTTCAAGGTGCCCCATGGCTTGGGCGCGGGGAGGAGGACAGAGCCCGACTCTGCAGGATGAAGGTAGTGGGCGATCACGTGACTCCCCAGACACACGGATGGGCAAAGCTGACTGGGACCACCACTTTCTGCTCCCAGACTGTGGCCTGACTCCCCCTGCAATGGAGGTCCACCCAAAGGCCAGAGACAGTTCTCAGACCTGCCTTGCCTACCACAGAGCTACGTGTGAGCTACCAAAACCAGACGCTCCCCTGGGGGAGAGGATGAGAGATCAAGCCACACGAGAGACATATTAGTCACATTGCTTGCTCAGATACCACGGCGATGAATGTGATATAAGAACCTCCACAGAATAGAAAAAAAAAGTAGTTCATCTCTCTTCTCCCTCCCCCTTCAAGTCCCTAGTATTCTGCAAAGATCACTGAGACGATAACTATCTGAAATCATTAAGAAAGGGTTAGAGAATAAGACAGAAAATATATTGCCTCTAGATAAATCCATGGTGTACCCACACCTGCCATACTGTGTGCAAATCCAGTCACTCCATCTCCAAAAATATCTAGAAAGGTTTAGAAAAGAGCTGCAAAAATGATTAGGGGTATGGAATAGCTTCCATACGAGGAAGGATTAGGAAGATGGGATTTTTCAGTTTAGAAAAGAGACGACTAAGGATGGATATGTTAAAGGACTATAAAATCATGTCTGGTGTGGAGTAAGTAAATAAGGGAGTAAATAGCACCTCTTTTCAGAACACACGAAACAGAGCTCGCCAAATGAAATTAATAGGCCGCAGGTTTAAAACAAACAAAAGGAAGTTTTTCTTCACGCAGCGCACTGTCAACCTGTGGAACTCCTTGCCAGAGGATGTTGCGAAGTTCAGGACATTGACAAGATTCAAGAAAAAGCTAGATAAATCCCTGGAGGATAGGTCTACCAACGGCTGTTAGCCAAGATGATCAGGAATGGTGTCCCAGGCTCGGTGGAAAGATGCTTTCAAAACAGGAGGAAGGTTAAGACAAGACCAAACGAGTGATCTTACATGCCAGACGTCATCCTTATCAGTGAACGAGGCTAACGAAGCCACGCCCATGTCCCCTTTCAGTCTGGCAGCAAGGATTGCTAAAGGAATCTGGCAGCACCCCGCTGTGGGCAGGGACTTGGAAAATCATGACCTGAAGGAGGAGGAGGAACACCTGGATTGTGGCTTCGGGCCATTTCTGTCCCCACCGAGCAAATGTAGGTCAAATTCTTCCCTGTGGGTGCAGGGAACAGGCTAGTGGCAGGGAATGGAGCAGGTCCAATCAACCCTGGGAATGCTACCCCCACTGAACTCCCCTCCTCCTATTGCGCCAGGCAAACACGGGCACAGATCAGGGGGAACTGGAGTCCGGCCCCAGCCCCATGCCCCACAGTTATTCTCTAACTGGCAGCGCTCAGAGCAGCAGCAGCCCTTGGTCCTCTCTCCAAGGGACAGACGTGGTTTTGCTACGTGGAACAGGAAGGCACACAAGCCAGTCAGCACAGGCAGTAAGGGAGACAGGGGCTGTGCCAAGCTCACTGGGCGAACTGAGACACAAACGAATGTCTTCAAAGAACACATTTGGCTCAGGCCTCTCGGCAACGAG